ATATAAAGATCTGGGAGGAGCCACATATTTTAGGCCACCCCGTATAATGTGGCCTAATAATAACAATTAGCAACCCAACAAGTTAATAGTTACAAGTTAATAACAACCCAACTAGTCCCATTACCAAAACATTAACATGAGGATATGGACCAATTTAACATTCACCAGGAGGAGGAGGAAACTAGGCCCACCTAGCCGGGACCCTGCTATTGACGTTAAATTATCGCACAGCTGTGAAATGAGAATAGTAGCAACTGAATTAGCTCTGAAGGGAAAACGAGACAATGTATCGGAAGTACAGTCAAGGACCGCTTAACAACGCTAATTGTTCGTAACCATAGTAACTGGTTGGTAACCATAGCAACTGATTGTTTGCCACAAAACCCCGTCCAGTCGACTACTTCCGTGATTCTCATAAGAAAGAGAAAAAGAGAGCTTTACCAATGTAGTAATATTTATTGAAACCACATTAATGTCAAATGTATCGACCAGTCTACAAGTACAACAGTTCCTCAAAACAAACTGATTCGCCAGTACCATCCCTGGGTTGCAGTTTAATATCAGAGCATTATACACCCCTAACTGCTGCCACTTTGACTTGTATTAGCAACAACTGAACGCGGTGCTCAAATCTCCAGTTTCTTATACGTTGTAAAATAAACTACTACCACTTCCACAATCCAAATACTGATAACGATTATTGTAAAACAACAAATTCGTGGGCTAAAAGTAAACCTTTAGGCAATGTCTCCATGAGGCGGGTATCTCGGTTAACGTTCAGGACATCACAGAATTTCTAACCTGGCACCACCACTCCCACTTAGAATACTGCAGAGTGGGAGTGGTGGTGCGAGTTAGACAACCTACTACACTCTCTAAACTCTAAAAACTAATCCTGAACCATGGTACCTAACTACAAGTTGTTATAATCTCTTACTCCCACAACTTCTACCACCGTGGACTCTCCTAGCTGCCTTAAAATGAGAAGTGTGGTACTACAACCTCTTAGTGAGGTGCCAACACTAAGTCCTTGCAGATAAATGCAGCTCCAGACAATTATACCAGCTTGCAGGAGATCTTACAAGCCGAACTAAAGTGGGAGTGGTATTGAACTAAATCTTCCAAATTAAGAAGTTACTGCAGATTCAACATGAGACTCCTTGCAGAAGATGCAGCAGCAAAGTAACAGTCAACTCGAGACAAGCACCCACACTTATAGTGGAGACATATAGAGATATAGACTGCTGTACTGGTTTACTTTAATAACGATTATTAAAGTTTAGAGTGGTTGCAGCATTAGTGTAAGCGTCCACCACATTGAGTTAACGGGTTGAGAACGTTGTCTAATCGTTCTAACGAGAAATGTTGGTGATTAAAAACTGCACGTGTAGCTAGTGTCCAGTACTGATGAAGTTGTGCTCTAGTTTTTGTTGTTTTTGATCGTTATTCGAAGATATGAAAGAGCTATGATAACAACATAAGATGAGTTTAAAAAAGAAGTTCTGAACACTAAGGAAAGGGAGACCGCAAAGAATTGTTTTTACTCGTAGCTACAATAATTATAAGACGATACATAATATGTAGCACCCTTTGTTACACATTATGTAACACAGTATGTAATATTCACATATATACACGTGAACTATTACAATATAACATACTAATACTATAATACTATAATACTATAATCACCGAGTCTAGTAATTGTTTAAGAGAGTTCTCTGGCAGTTACGAAGCTCGAGAGACTGTGGGATACTGAAGGGAAAGGAAGCAGTTCTAACGAGCTCTTCTCAAACACAAGGATATATCTTGTGAACTTAGCTAGTATATATGAAACATTTGATATGGAGTTGTAGAGGGAGTTATGTGCCTCGCCGGGCTAAAGTAGTGGATGACCTTGCTGTACGACAAGTTAAACAAGGATCTGAAACTACTAGGTTCCGTACAGACTCAACTCTGCACCCGTGTCAATATGTTCATTATATGCAAGCCTCTTGATTTATAATCACCGAGTCTAGTAATTGTTTAAGAGAGTTCTCTGGCAGTTACGAAACTCGAGAGACTGTGGGATACTGAAGGGAAAGGAAGCAGTTCTAACGAGCTCTTCTCAAACACAAGGATATATCTTGTGAACTTAGCTAGTATATATGAAACATTTGATATGGAGTTGTAGAGGGAGTTATGTGCCTCGCCGGGCTAAGGTAGTGGATGACCTTGCTGTACGGCAAGTTAAACAAGGATCTGAAACTACTAGGTTCCGTACAGACTCAACTCTGAACCCGTGTCAATATGTTCATTATATGCAAGCCTCTTGATTTATACTTTAAATATCGTTATATTAGTCGAAGCTATGAAAAGTCAACTATAATACCATTCATAATACAACGAATATTCAAAATTGATTCAAAATTGATCGAGCAAATGAAGACACTGCAGAATTGCTCAACAATCAAACTTGAATAGAAGGGGGACCGAACGGCTATTTAAATTCATCATTTAGTCGTATTTATGATATATTTATAATATTCAAAATGAGTCGATCTACATACTTATGAATCACAGAATGTACATTGAATACATCAAGCGGCCTGTAAGGGTTTAGAGAGAAGGCTAACAATCACCCTCTTTGAAGGTAGCGCTAGTCATGAGCTTTTTACTTACGCGTCACACTAAATTAGTCTTACCTGTTGACACAGATTAGTACAAAGGGAGACGATAAGGGGGTGAGTATAAGATGGTTTATATTTTTAAATTATGCTACATTTTGATGATGTTTATTTCGAAATCTATCATGGATCAATAGAAATAGTTGACATAATTGAAAATTAAGAAAATGTCGTATCTGACTCGGCTATCGGGAGTTAGGTACGAGACCCCAATATCACTATAATATTACGATTCGATATTATACGATTCTAAATCTATCTATCTATTTATAGTACCAACTATAAATAAAATTGTAGGGTTGACATCGAATGAAGGGGAGCTTATATTTATATATATCTAATATCTTGAATAATTCAAAGACACACATTTTAGGTATGCAAATACTACAGGTATACAAATATTACAGATATGAAAATATCGTAGGTATCTAACGAGGGACGATCTGAATAAAGATTAAAGCTTTACTCGGCGAATACCGGGAAATGTCTCACGAGGAGAGCCTGTTAGATTTATACCGCTGGAATGTGTCCGGTATAATCTGGTGGAAGGCAGGCATTGGGAGAATGTTGCAATTGTAGAGATAATCACATACTCGTACCATTACAAACATGGAAAATATTTCAAGAAATGTACCGTGATAACACTCACGTGGCTGATTTTGATCATTCCTGTTTCTAGGCACGGGTATTCAAATAACAACAACAACACTGTGTGTGAATTCCTAGTGGGCTTTTGAGGGAGAGATATAAAGCCCTTGAAAACTAACGAAAAATATTATAATCACATCTTAACCAAATGTAGTCTCTTCTGAACAGAATTGACGGATTTCAATTTTCGTTTATATTATGTTTATTTTTTTGCCTGAGCAGCTGACCTCTGACTTATATTAGTTTCATTGGATGAACAATATTATTAATATTATAACAAATATCGTAAATTTGACTAGGTTAGCGTCTAAAACAATATCTCACGACTCACTGTAGTTTCAAGCTCAGTTTTACGTCACAATTCCTGTCGAGCGGAAGATACGGCAGTTATATTTGCTGAATAATAAAAACTACAAAAATATGGTTGGATTGTAAAATTCATTGTCCATTAGCTCACAAAAACCATGCGAAACAATGAAAATTTTAAAAAATTTACTGAAAGATAAGATCCCATAAGCTATAATACAGGAAAAGTGAAATAATCACTATCAGAAGGGTTCCAAAGAACTTCAAGGTCCCCTAATGACTCTTTAGAAGACTTTACTTCCCAGACTTACGTACAATACACTGCACACTGCAGAACATATAATTGAAGGTCCACAACAATCAGAAAGGACCCTGCAGTTCATACAGTAGCGTGGAACACACCGGAGTTCGTTATATAGAGCAATTATGCTAATAATCAATTATGTGAATAATTAATTATCTTAACAGAGGCTATAATTACAAGGGTAATAACTACAGTAAGTATACAGCGGGAACTAATCACCAGTGCGAGAGCAGCATGTGGGGAGATTGAGAATCTGTGTACACTCCAGTGCAGGAGTAACAAATAAGGGTCCCCACAGATCGAGGTGCATGTACTGATGTTCGACACGTAGTGACGTGTCAAACTAGGGTACGCTACTTGGACTCTAGTTCGACACGTACACTAGTTCGACATGTACCGAAGTTCGACAAGGGTGATCTCTGGCGAACTTGAGTTGTCGAACTAGAGTACGAGTCGAGCTAGAGCACATGATTTTTTTTCAGGACCTAAGAGATTTTTGAAGGGACGCCAAAAACTTTCAGTGGGGGGGGGGGGGGGGGGGGGGCAGATGGTAACGTTACGCCACTAGTAGTGGTACTGGTAGACTCTCATAACAACATTTAGAGACTTAGCCACTATTAGTGACGTCGAAATAATATTATTCAAGCTTATATTTATTAATCAAGATTAAAAGGCTAAAGTTAATGTTTAAATGGCCCGGCAGTGCGTTTTAGCTGGTTCTCATGGGAAATGGAGTAGTTTAGCAGAATCTAAACGGACTGACAGCAGCTGTGCACGCTACGCAGACACGCAGCTATTAACCGTGCAGCTTCTCGCTTTAAAATAGAATTCTGCAGATCCTGTAGGTACAACTACTCCAAAATAAACTGTTATGTGCAGCTTAAACCTGTTAATAAAGAGTCGAGAGGATTTGAAGAGTTGCATGGGATAGCAATTATTCAATAAATAAAATTCCTTTTTAATATCAAGACTCGGTATTTACGAACGACTAAATAATCAAGATTTGTCAGAATCTATGAAGCAAAATGAGGATTTTCAAACTCTACAAAAATTTATAATTTATTATAATAACTCACCCAAATAAGATAGTCCACTCCTTGAAAAGGTGACCTAACAGGCCCCCCCTCCTCCTGCTTCTCACTTCTCTCCTGATAGAAGGAGTCGTAACACAGTACAGCACAGTCTGGTATGAGCTCTAGAAAGAGCCGATCAGCAAGACACCCGTCTGGGGAACTGAGGAGGTCTGCGAAACAGTCGTCCTCTATCACTGGGGTCAGATTATCTGAGGGCTCGGCTGGTGTAGTGGGGAAAAGTCGATCTACTAAACTGTGGTCTGTGTCTGAGGTGGCGAAGAGTCGATCTATTAGATTCTGTTCTAGTTCAGAAGTGGCGAACAGTCGCTCTGCTAGACTTTGTTCGTTTTCGGAGCCGGCGAACAATCTGTCTGCTAAACTTTGCTCAATTTTGGAGGGGGTGAACAGTTGATCTGCTAACGTTTGGTCAATTTCAGAGGTAGCGTACAGTCGTTCTCGTTTATTCTTTTTCCTTTTATAGCTTCTACAGCTTCGCATTCCACGAAACCCCTAGAGTAGCAATGTTGAGTTTTTCAGTTGAGAAAAAGATCAAGAGAAAGCTGAAAGGGTTCCAGGGTTTTCAAATCAGCAGAGATATTTGTGCTTCAGATAAAAGTCCACGGATGCCTTCCCAAATCACATGCAAAATGTAAATGCAAACTCGTTCTTTTAGAATGTTATAGTTGGAGTAATTCCAGCAGAAAACAAAGGAAAACAAGAGCTGTGGATTTGCTGAAATCCACTTGACTTAGTTGGCCTTGATTCTCAAAATATTATTCCAATATGATCCAGAGAAATGTTTACACTCACGGAAATCTACCGCAGACATCTGATTAACAAGTGTAGAAGAGTGTACTTGTAGTTAACAAGGGAGCAGATAAAACCACCAGGAAATAAAGGCAACAAGCAGAACTAATGACATCGCCTCAGCTGCTCCAGGTCTCTCTCTCTCTCCCTCTTAGTAGGCACTATAAGGTGGCTTGTAGAGGCTCAGGGGTAGTACAATACAACTACACGCCCTACATATGTACAATTACTTGAATCCACCATGCTCTAACCATTACCACCCACTGAAAGCTGCCACAATGGCGCTGTTTGGCATTCGTACAGGCATTTGTTGTAGGGGTATCTTATGGTTATACAACCTAATCGTATAGTATAGTACGTAATAGTACGGTTACAATAAAATTATGCTGATCTAGTAGACTGTATGACTTTTAGTATTGGCAATCGGTTATACTGAGAACTTAGGCTGTTCATCATGATAATGAGCGATTTATTTTGTAGAATTAAGACTGGTACGGATTGTCTGAGTATGGCTAAGTTAACCGTTAACGATTAGAGAATTAGGAAAATAAGTAATGAGTCCAGCAAGAATATGGAAATTAAAGGTAACCAGACATGAACTATTTGTTGCGTTCACAAAATATTGCCAAATTAAACAGATTATAAAGAGTAAGATAAAAACAGAAAAAAGTAAAGGGATAACAAAAATATCAATCATTTCTATCCAGGATAACAAAATAGTATTTACAGATTTAGAACAACAATGTGAGAACGCTAAAGTAAGATGAGTTCTAACAAATCAAAGGCAGTTAGAAACTAGTGATGAGGCTTTTAAAATAAAGACACACAGCCTTATTCATAAACAAGCATGCAAGTAACATGTACATGCCTGCTACCTTCAAACAGAATGTGAAGGATCTGGGTAATACAAGGTGAAGAGACTAAGAGATAAGATATCCAGGCTTCAGGCGTCACTCAAGCATACATGTACTTAACCTCACTCAGATAGACACAAACAAACACAAACATGCACAGGAAGACAGATAAACATACAAAAACAAAAACAGACAAAAAAGACAGAAAAAAAGACAGACAGACAGACAGACAGACAGACAGACAGACAGACAGACAGACAGACAGACAGACAGACAGACAGACAGACAGACAGACAGACAGACAGACAGACAGACAGACAGACAGACAGACAGACAGACAGACAGACAGACAGACAGACTCACTGTGAAAGTGATAGAGACGTCCCTCATACAGCGGCGAGGCTTGTACCTGGTATCGTATCTCTGACCGTGTGAGAGTCTCTTGCTTCTGTAGACAGGAGAGGCTCGAGGGGACCTGGCAAACATGATGATAATACCTTTAAATAAACTGTATTCCAACTCGGGTATTAAAGACGAACTTGCTTGAACGTCAATGCTTTATAAAAGAGTTTTCATGAGTTTGGGATTTTGTCAACGCTTTTAAATAATTTTGTTACTATTAAACGGTATTTAAATTTTTACTTTGATAACATTTGTCGTCGCTCGATATATTTAAGGTTTTAAATATCTAACAAGACTGGCAAATAGCCATGTAGAGCAGGTCTCCTTGATATCACGATATTTTCTTAAACGGCGTTTATCTTATAAGAGACTTTGCTTCAAAGTTTGATAACATTGATTGCGCGGTTTTACAAAATGAAAGCTTCACTGACAAAGTACCTAACATATTATAATCTGCCAGGAACTATAAAATTGTCATATGAATTTGCCCTCCAAGATTGAAGATCGCTGAAAAGCAACCCATATCCTCATATTATTAAAGTGTATATTACAAGCGCATACTAGCCAGGTACAGGTAAGCACTAAGTAGGTATGATGTTAGGTGCCGACATTATCTAACAGCACTAGAACAGTTTCCCCCGCATAAATAATCCCCAGATTTATAATAAGTTAAACATTAACTGTCCAACCCAAATAACCCCCTCCCCCCTCACCTGCCACATTCCGAGAGGGACCTAGCTCTGGTGTTTCCACAAGAAGGATCTGCTAGATTGTGCCGGCCGGGAGAGTCTGGGAGACTGAGCCTAGAAGTGGGACTATCCACAACGTTTAGTCTGGAGCTCGGTGATTCCGGGAGGTTGAACTGTGGCGAGGTGGTGTCCAGGTGGTGGTTTTTTATGCTCGGAGAGTCGGAGTCGGAGTTAACTGGGTCTTGCTGCCTCCTCTGAGAAATCCTGAAATCATTGTGGATCAATTAATTAGATGAACCAAAAACACGTGATATATTGAAATTAAATAAATATATTAACTTGATTAAATTAATCCCTATGAAGCACTTACCCAAGTGAGTATATTTGTTGTTCAAGTCGTTCAAAGCGCTTTTGTTGGGAGCAGTTCACTTGTTCGTTTCTGAAAACGAATTGAAAATAATAATAACAAGAATAACAAGGCAATTTTAAATTTACATTTCAAATCAAGGCACTGTTAATTAAATTCATCAGACGAAATGTTCCAATAGATAACAGTTGTCCGCGCCATGATAATTAATGCCTTTCATTCATACAAGTGAAAACAAATTCTTCTTGTAGTGCATCCTGGGTTTGGACAGGATATGCCCGCTTAAAATATTTCCATCACGTTACATTACATTATTCTCAAAAAATGTAATAGATTTGTAGTGTTGTATTTGTTTAAAACATAAAATGTTATATTTTATGAATGATGAGCGAGGCTGTGACCCTTCATTAATGGGCCTTTGAATAAGGCCTTGTATAGACTATAGTGCAAGGTGGGTGTCATTAAGACTAGATTTCACCCACTCGTCTCATACAAGTCGGTAATTACACTATAATCATACATCAGTTCACAGCTCCGAGAGAATACGCGAGGAAATTATACGGATGTTATTATTGCACCGAGGGTATGAAGTTGATAGAATATTAATAAATATGGCAAACTGATTTCCGATTATCACCTGCATATTGGGTTCTAATTATCTGTTGTTCGACCACCTGCACCTCCGAGTGCCCAACTTTCTAACCCTCTACATCTCTTCTTAGAGATGATTAATTTCAGCGAGAACTAAATCTTATCCAAACTTTTAGCTCGGTTTGCTACGGTTTTCCATTTTCAATTATTCAGTTCAACTCAAGTTCAGTTCTTTAATCGTGTCCAGCTGTCTCCTTCAACCTTATTTTTTGATAGTTCTCAGCGGATTTGTTCGCTATTAGCTGTGGCGTTACTAATCTGCAGAAACTTTAAGGACCCAGCGTGCCCAACTGGCGATTACATTTTTGTGTATAGTCATAAAGTTATCTGTATTTAATAAATACCGATGAAAAATTCTAAATTTAGGGTTGACCGAGATGTGCCCGAGATGTGCCCGAGATGTGCCGAGGTGTGCCTCAGGTGGTTCTGCCCGAGGTGTGCCCGAGGTGTGCTTTGTGCCCCAGGTGTCTCCCAGGTGTGCCCGAGGTGTGCCCGAGTTTGTGCCCCAGGTGTGCCCCAGATGCGCATCGGCAGATTACCGAGTTACCTTCTCTTTTATTAAGAGTTTGTAATTTCGTCTGATCAAAAGCAGCTAATGGTCTATGCTAATAATCATAAGTTATAGATATTCATTCTATGTTGTAGCTGAGACGCAGAGTTAGTATCCTCTAGACTCTAGACCAGTAACATCCTGCAAAAAATTAGATCAAGACCAAACAACGTAAGCATGCACTGATATGTAATTATAAGACATAATCGTTGTCCATTAGATGCCATTTATTTGCAGAAAATTTCCTATTTGCATGGAATTGGAGTTGAACTGATCCCGAACAATATTATATAATAATAATAATAAATATATATATATACTATTGGCAACCTATTTAATTGAACTTGACGTCAGTATGTTTGACAACAAAACCACAGCCTTCCGCTTTGTTCTATAGTTAGATCCGATCGCTGCACTTTTAGGAAATATTGAGATTAATTATACATATGAATTAGGAAACATTTTTCTGGACATCGTTCGATAATGATTGGCCTCGACATGGCTTACAGTTATTAATTGCAGCTGCAGTGCTGTGCATTAATTCAGCTCTTGCAGAGTATGGTACGTCATTGTTATGTGGTACCGTGTTAAATTGATTATTTTTGTTGAGTGAAAAGCATTTGAATTAACATTGTCCATACATTCTTCTCTCCCTTTGCTTAAGATTTTTTAGAATGATTTTTGTTAGGTAATCATGCTGCTTAAATATCTTATCTTACGGCCAAATGATATTTATCCAGGACTATCCTGATTGAACAGGGAAAACAGTATATCGGTATTAGGTTTGGTTGATGATCGAATCTAAAAATGTAACGTTTATTAATTTCTTCCCGGTTAAGCATATGCCGCGGCCGTGAGTTAAAAACATAAATAACCACGTTTCATCAGGAGTAACTCATTGGTAATTATTCAAGTTTTATGACTAATAATTCCTCCAAAAACATGAGACATAAGACATGGAACGCGACTAATGATAATCTGATAACACAATGCGTTATTGGTACGTGTGATACTGAATCCCAGTTCCTATAATAGTTCACACTATGATGTATTGCAATTAATTCTTACTATATTGTATTGCAATTATAATGCCTGCTACATTGTTAGATTCTATCATCATCATCATACATATAACACTTAATGTTGTTGAGATCATTGGGGCATCACAATAAAGGAAATGGCTCGCGGACACTTTTGCTTCTTTGTTACTTCACTGCACTACTGACCAATATTTTGTCACGGGTTTTAATTGAATATTTATTAAATGGATCGTATGAAGCAGATGTTTCCCTACTTCATATTTGTGGGTCATCCGTTGGCGACTAGTTTGGATATTTGTCCTGCGGTCTGGCGTCTATTTCTAATTAAATATCTTGTTTTCAAATAAAGGCGCGTTTTGTTCAATCTCAGTAATAATGCGATCTTTTGTTAACTTTATTAGACCGTAAGTTGTTATCGTGCTTTACTTATTGCGGATTAATGCCGGTAACTTAAGTCATTATTATATGAGCCTTTATCGTCAGCATGCTATTTAAAGTTGCAGGTTCATAACATCGCCCAATCAACGACATTGCTATTTGCACTTACAAAGTTTAATTATGAGCAAACTTCAGTAAAATTAAACCAACTTGTTATGCTATAAGCACTTTATAGAGCAATTAAACGACTATATACCCCTCGGAAATATCAATAAACTATTTACAATAGCGTACTCAATTAATCCGTTTAAATGCTTGTAGATTACTCTATAACAATTAAACGACTACATAACCCCGTTATTTATAGAGTGGTACTCTATTACTGTGTTCAAATGCTTGTAGATGATTTTAATCCAGTGTTGATCCTATGTTGATGTTTATCTATAGTTTGTTCTGATCGGCAGAGTCATGACTGGAGTCAATTTAGCAGATTAATTTAAGACTACAATCAAGCTTGGCTAATGAGGTTTTCAGTGTGGTGCCACTGATTAAGTATAAATTACTAGAAACCTGCTAGCCGAAAGCTTTATTCGAGGAAATTTTAAAAATCAGTTTTGTTTTTCTCTTCAGACTTTATCATTTAGCACACAACCATGATCCTCCTGTATGTCTTTTGTCTCTACTGTCATCTGCACAGATCTTCCTAGCTAAACCCTCTCGTTCTCCTCACATCATGTCTCGTTTTTAAGAGTCCACTCACCTCGGTCCCAACTCCTTCAGACTTATACAGTCATTATAACTGATCAACTTAATACCCCGTCAACAGATTAAGTAACTTGTAATACGATGTCTACCCCACCCTCAAATAGATAAATAGTGGTGAGTGTTAATGATCATATTAGGCATAAAACTGCATAGTTATACAGAATCGCATAGTCATGTCAAAGGACTTTCAGATTTGGGAGTTATATAACTGAGATGATTTACTGAAATAACCTCTTTAATAGTACGGGGTGGCGAAGTGATTGACAAAACTGTTAAGTATCTGGGAATAAGCCGCATTCCAAGCGATATCTTCGCCGGTGTCCTGCATTGATGTGATAACTAAGGATTTAGGCATTAAATGATAAAGGAAGTTTCAAGGTATATTCCTTATATAGTACATTCGGAGAAACCTTTGGTAGTACTCAATTGGCTCATGACCATTGGCAATAGTGATAAGGAAGCGAAACTATCTCTCAACCGTAGCTGAGTTTGAATAATTATATCTTAATATGCATAGATGGGTCATGAATCATTATGCAACTCAATGGGAGTTCCAATTTACTTATACATCTTAAAATTGACAAGTTTTTCCACTAATTGTATAATGATTTGATGGAATCATAATGCCGTGAGATAAAACACTTGGCAGACATTTTAAATTAAGATAACTCTTTGAAAAAAAAACGCTTGTAAGACGTTTAAAACAACTAAACGTCAACACCTCCTTTGTTCTGGAAATTGGCCGATTTTTGGACCGGGTTAGACAATAAAAGTCTTACAAACTGTTGCAAATTATCTCATTAACTTATTCGCAATGACCGCAACTATCACGCTTTTTTAATGGGAAAAGTAAATTATGAAATTTAAATGTAGTGTGACATTTAACGCCAATAGTTATTTCTGCGATGCGCTGATACGGCTTCCGTGACGGCATAGCTCTGAAACAGTTAGAAAAATTCCTTGGTTCTATAATAGCTATCATACTTTCGATTCATTTTCTACCAGCGCACGTAATCTATTTGTGATAAAAACGCTTGGTTGAATTTTTGATATTCAGTTTATACCCTAGATATATTGTCTAAGGGAACCGCCTAGTTATGATGAGTAACTGAGATGATGACCAACATTAGAGACGATTCAAACATGTCAGCGAACGGACCTCCACGCACCATCAGTTTTACCATCAATATTCTTCATCTATTCTTCACTCTGAACATCCTAATTTTTACTGGCAGCACTTACGAAGATGTCAACACAGACTTAAAACACTCTTACAAATTTTATAACACCAACAATGATCGATTATCTGCAGACAATAACGAAGTTGAAAAATCAGAAAATTTTAACAATTTCAAGATGGGAAACGCATCAGAAAACTATAAAAGAAACATTGTCTTCTCGTCCATTGAGATATCAGAGATCGAGAATATAGCAAAGTTGATGTCAGTTCAGCTCAACGGACAGTTTGAGGACAGAACTAGGTATTCTAGTCTCTCAGAGGAAATTATGAGCATACCTTTTGATATAACTACCGGGTAAGTTTCAGTTTAACTCCATATTGTGGATCATCGTTAATCTCTGATCAAACAAAGTTATATTATCTAATTATAACTTTGTTTACATCATGATTGATCTTCAATTTAAATGACATATAACTTATTATCTCTGATGCTCTTGATGCCGTACAGCCGTAAGGCCTCAATAAATAAGCTCTGAAATAGACTTGAACAACATCTGTCACCATTTGCGGTAAATGGTTCATTTATTAAATTAACACCAATTTAAAATTATTTCATACCAATACGTGCCAATTATTCTCCAGGGAAGAAACACTGTCAATGGTCCAAGAGCACGTGGAAAAGACACTGGCTCAGTCCCGGAAAATGTTGATCAGTGTACGGAAACAAGCTCAAGATGCTTTCGAGATGTTCACACGGGACGACGTGCAGGGTTTCGACTTCGTCAACCAGTTCTCTAATGTTTCCGCTACAGGTTTTTGTCTTCGTCAACCAGTTCTCTAATGTTTCCGCTACAGGTTTTTGTCTTCGTCAACCAGTTCTCTAATGTTTCCGCTACAGGTTTTTGTCTTCGTCAACCAGTTCTCTAATGTTTCCGCTACAGGTTTTTGTCTTCGTCAACCAGTTCTCTAATGTTTCCGCTACAGGTTTTTGTCTTCGTCAACCAGTTCTCTAATGTTTCCGCTACAGGTTTTTGTCTTCGTCAACCAGTTCTCTAATGTTTCCGCTACAGGTTTTTGTCTTCGTCAACCAGTTCTCTAATGTTTCCGCTACAGGTTTTTGTCTTCGTCAACCAGTTCTCTAATGTTTCCGCTACAGGTGTTTGTCTTCGTCAACCAGTTCTCTAATGTTTCTGCTACAGGTTTTTGTCTTCGTCAACCAGTTCTCTACAGGTGTCAACCAGTTCTCTAATGTTTCCGCTACAGGTTTTTGTCTTCGTCAACCAGTTCTCTAATAACGTTTCCGCTACAGGTTTTTGTCTTCGTCAACCAGTTCTCTAACGTTTCCGCTACAGGTTTTTGTCTTCGTCAACCAGTTCTCTAACGTTTCCGCTACAGGTTTTTGTCTTCGTCAACTAGTTCTTTAACGTTTCTGCTACAGGTTTTTGTCTTCGTCAAACAGTTCTCTAACGTTTCCGCTACAGATTTTTGTCTTCGTCAACCAGTTCTCTAACGTTTCCGCTACAGGTTTTTGTCTTCGTCAACCAGTTCTCTAACGTTTCCGCTACAGGTTTTAGTCCCTCAAGTACAAAGATTTGTTTTCGCTACAGGTTTTTATTTGAAGAACAAGCTGATTATACAAATGCAATTCTGGTGGAAACGTTTTTATCCATCGTTTAAAAGAAAAAAGAAATTCCCCGTCTTAACAGAAACCCTCCAGGTCAACAACCACTGGTATACCACCCTGACCACAGGTTCGAAATCCCTGTTAACCTTCAAAACTCCTCGGTAACTCTGCCTCTGGAGGTATATTACAACTGGACTGAAGTTAGAAGAACGATACAGGTAATTTTGGTTAATTTAAGGATTAGGAAACGTAACAGAATAAACCCCCCCCCCCTCGATCACTTGCTATCTAACTGATATTATGTCTTAAAACAAATTATTCTGATTGCAAGCGCCATTTTTAATGAGAGTGGAACTAGCTTGTACAGGCCCAACGTGACATTTTAAACTGTCAAGGGCCAGTCAAGCATCAAAATGTTTGATCATTTTACCAATGCATGCAATCCCCATCCACCTGCTGATATTCAAATAGGTTTTATAAGTGAAGATTGCAATTTACCCGATCTGTTACCAAGCCAACCAATCCGATCCCTATATTGATATTCTAGAGAAGTGAAGATTATAGAAGTTAGGTGATTTAGAGCGTAGTGATACTTCATAAACTTGCGAGGGGTACGTTGGTCAATCATCAGAACACTTAAACACTCATCAAATTTAGTCTCTTACCCACTCGACCATTCCTCACAAATATTTTATTAAATTTCGGGAGAAATGAAGATGATAATAATTTATACAATAATTTATCAGATTTGCTCTTTCAGTGGACAAGTAAACTTGACGAAGTGTTCAAGAAGAACCAACGAGGCTCCTCAGCAGGGTATTTCCAGCACTTCAGGTATACATACCTCAGCAAATAGCATATGCTTCATACTGTGATATTTCTAGTATATTTCTAGTATACTGCAGGAATACCTCAGTGCATTTAATATAGAGAATTTAATATAGAATTGGGGTTTGAGTTTTGAGCGCATGAAATATACTAAGTATATTTGGTTTATCATACATAAGAAAGAGATGTTTGAGCTAAAAATAAGAAAATGTCTTAGAAGTTGAGTTATTTACGTGAATTCCATTCACGGATTTCTCAATAATTACTGGTAAACTCAGACTTGTATGTTTCGTTTATTGCTCTCTTGAGTTGGTTGAAATTGATCACGTTACCAACTTTGTCAGTACGCCGGAGGGAGTGATGAGATCTTACCCCAATGTCTACACCCCTCGGGATGAGTCCTGGACCTTCTATGACCCTCGTCAGCGAACTTGGTCAGTCCAAAATACTTTTTACCTTTTTCCAAATATAATTCGAATTTTCAGTGTGGTACCAGCTGTTTGATTGTACATCGGCGTACTTGAAGGATTAATAAATGTTGAATGTGGATGCTGGTGGGGAGGTGAACTAATTTTAGCACGTGTCACGGTGTCAGTGATTCTGGTATTTTATTGGTTAATGCTGGAAGCTGTCATGTGTTATCAAAATATGGTCCACCAACTTCCTATGGCTATACCCATTAGTATCGCCTGGTATCGGTTCCCATAATATGTAACCTTACTCTTTGCTGCAATTCAGTGACCGCTATTTTTATCAGCGCCACTGAATCTGTTTTAAAACTTATAAAAGAATGGCGATGAAATAGATTTCTGCGCTCAGTCAACAACAAATAAACTATTAAGACCGAAAGCAGAATGTATAAATAAAAGCATTCCTCTATATTATCTGGACTTAAAAGCCCGATAAGTATTCAGCACTAATGCTTATTCTACAAAATGAGTCCATTTACCATTTTCTTTTTACATTTCTCAAGCCGCAATAAAATTAATCCCAAAGTTAAATTTAGAGTGAAAACATATTATGTATATATCGTTTCATTTTACGGGAATAGATAAAATTTATCGCAGAAAAAAGATTCGAAATTCATCTTGAGTTTGCTCAAAAGAACACGATCACGGAAGATGAGTCCATGTACATATTCGCTGTCTGTTGGTGTCCTTGTTAATTGACCAGCATGCCCTGACTTCTTGTCTGCAGTCAGGTCTTGTTTGTCCTTATTCAGTTATATTCAACACGTAAGTACTCATCAATCTTCCCCATTAAGATGACCGAAAATTGATAAGGAATAAATACTATAGATGTCTCAGATAGTGATTCTATAGAATTCTGGAGCTCACAAATTCTGTAGAACTTGTTTCTTTATATAGCACAAAAAACAAATTTCAGATAACCGTAGAGAATGTAGCAGTAGAAGAACAAAGATTTTGGGGGTCGTGGATAAGAACGCAGAGACTCTAAATTTGGGATTCATAAAACATTTAGGCGATCTCGCGTATATTAGAAGAAACTTATAACGATAGAAACCGTATTGTGACCTTGCGCGTTCTTATCTTGATAAATATGTAGCGGGGATCACGGTTTCTATTTCTAGAAATAATTAAATCGGATAGTTTTAATATTATGAGAATAGTACCAACTTTTCTATACGAACCACTCTCCAAACATATAGATGTACCACAGAAAAAAGGCATATCCTGCTAGTATACTTACGTACCAAATAGTTTGTATTCTACAGAAAGTATAATAAGTGATAACACTGTTATCTAAACCTAATCCTTAAATAAAAATCCTTTACAAATTCCTTAAATACTTCTTTTATTCTAAGAAATATACCCCTTATATTCTAAGAAAAAGCTCTTCAATAAAACCCTTGAAAAGTATGATAAAAATGTAAAATATTACAAATACAGTACAGGCAGCATGGAGATTAGAGCCTAAGAGTATAGTACATATTTTTAGTGGATTAATTAACTTAGTTACTTTAGTTCACTTAGTTAATTTAGTTAATTTAGTTAATTTGGTTAATTTAGCTCCCTTAGATAATTTAGTTAATTTGCAGGTACAGTACAGGCAGTATGGAACCTAAAAGTATTGTATTTCTGGTGGATGGCAGTGGCAGTATTTACGGGGAATCTAACAGACTCCTTAAGGAAACTGTCAAGAACGTTCGTTATTTTTAAAAGAAGTATATTTTATTTTAGAGTATTTTTGCATAGATTACACAATAAGATTTGATGGTAAATTGATCTTAATAGTTTAAATAGTAGTTTGGTAGTGATTCCGGGAAGTTTCTATTAAAGTACTGGATTCATTACACTTTAGGTGTTACACAGTCTGGTATCAGATCTTGATTATATCGACGTGGCTATGGTCAGAGAGAATTCGGTGAGGTAAGATTTTAAATGTTATTTTGGGTTCTAATTCTCATTCTACCATTAAAGCATTTAAGACTTTGAATTCGGCCATACCTCAATTACTTACTTCGTTACTTCGTTGAGTTCATCCGTGGAGCCGGAAGGGTCATCAGATATCTGACCACCTGGATGGCGAGTAGTCGACCAGTGAGTTTGACCAACTGCAGCTGTAGCCGGCGACCGGAGGGTTGTCCGGTATCAAAGCAAGAAAGTTCGACAAACTACACTTAAACAATATCCTACTATATACAATATCCTAATATCCTACATATTTGAGTTTTCAATTAGATTTTAGGGTTTGGGTTATACTGTTATAGTTTGGGTTTAGATATCTAATGATCTCAGCAAGGATAGGGTTAGAGGTAAAAGTTAGGGGTTGTAAGATTAAGTTGGGAGAAAAAGTTCAAATTTAAACAGCAGGAGTTGTAACGTAATGTTAATGAAATGTAGATGAAATTTAAATGAAATGTAGATGAAATGTAGATGAAATGTAGATGAAAATGTAGATGAAATGTAGATGAAATATAGATGAAATGTAGATGAAATGTAGATGAAATAATGATGAAATATAAATGTAGATGAAATGTAGATTTAAATTTCCAACCTCAGCTCGATGGTAGACTGTGCAGGTGAGAAACCCAGTCTGAGAAGGACAACCCAAGCTACTAAATCTTATCTCTCTCACAAGATTGAGAACGAGGAGTGGTAAGTACACTTAGTTAACTTAGTAGTTAGTATTAGAACTTTTTTCACAGAACTGTTAATTCTTTAATTTTCGTGCGTATCTCGAATGCTCCGGTCCTTATTATAGTGTATAGTGTTTTCTATAAGGTGTACCGTCAAGTCCCACAGATCGGCACAGACCGAAAAACCCACAGTTATGAATCATTGCATCAGCTCCTAAATCAGTCTAACAAATGTAAGAATGTTAAAACTGTAACCTCTTTATATATAACCGAGTAAGGTGGTTAGGCTACTGATGAGAAGCCTCATTAAAGTTTATCTGGGTTAGAAACGACATCTGGGTCCCTACCATCGCACAAGATTATTCTCAATTTTCTTGTTGTGTTTTCCACAACTATACCTCTAGCTGCAACATCTCCTCAGGTACGGTCTATCTAATGTTACGGGAGGGTTCCAGTACGCGTTTGACCTTCTCCAGGAATACCAACATAACACGTGCCACAAACTTATTGTCCTGTTTACTGACTACACTAACGAGGTACTTACTTATTATTAAAAACTTTACTGACTACACCAACTAGGAACTCGTTATTTATAAAAAATTTTAAAACGTCAATGTTTACATTGCGGAAGTCCTGCACTGTGAAACTTGATAGCTAGGTGACATTTTTGTAAATATCCACCATCAATAACAAGCAAGACCTTTACTACACCTTTACTACACCTTTCTTTAAAATGAACTGATGATAACAACACTATATATCAGGAACTGATACCTTACATTGAACAACGAGACGATGATTTAGGAGGTGGAACACACGTGGTTATATTTACCTTCGGTTATGAGGTCAGTAACATGACGTCACTAACATGACGTCAGTACGATGACGTAGTTCATTGCAACGTTGCAAATTTCCAAAATTTAGGAGGTAGTTTTAAAATATGAAAGTTTATTAGCCATGTTTACGTTTTCAATTTTGTCAATTTTACAGTATGTGATCAATCAATACAATCGATACATGATTTCCACTGCAGGGTTGGATTCGTCAGAACCTGTCAAAGGTAGCAGAACATTTCGAGGGCTACTCCGTAAAGATAAACGATCTGCCTCAAATATTCACAGCCGCGCGGGGGATCACTAACGTGTTCACTAGCAAGGGAGTGAGGGAGAGGGCTTTACAGTTCCCCTTTTCTAACAGCTACCAGGACGGATACGGTCAGGTAAGGGGATCAGGCTCAGAGAGGGAGAAATTGTTAAAGTATCCATTACTAATATATTTATTCATTTATTTATCAAACTTGCTCTGATACTATTCCTGATAAATTGGGCTCGAAATGATAAAACACCATATGGTTATGAAGAATCGGTTCTGAGTTCTGACGAATTGAGGAAGTTAAGAAGCTGTCATAAAAATCAATCTGTCTTGATTTCTAATCTATTGGGGGATATTACGTAAACTTCGTGGAAGTTAGCCTCTGACATTTAGACCATGTTGAATATTTTGTTATTCAAGGCTGAATAAGGACACGAAATGCAAATATCATATTTAGAGAATCATGTAATGGTATCTAATGGACAAATCTTACTCGATATATCAGGAGACATTAAGTAATCTTCAATATTACGTTATCTTCTATAATATAATATGGAGATAAGTGCTAGTTTCGTGTTACTGCGGGTGTAGTTGGACTTGGACAGTACCACGACAGGGGTGTGTCATAAAGTGCACATTTTACTGTCCTAGAGTTGGAGTACCTACAATTTGCCTTCCTTCCCCGTAAAATATTCGAGAAACCAGCGAGAAATAGAGACGTTTTGGATGAAATCATCATGATTCTGCACGTGCATTTCATGTCTAATAGGCTTTAAGAACTCAGAGCACGATAAGGACTCGTGGTTAATGTGCGGATACCACTTTCAAAATGCAAATATTTCTGAATATGCAATAGGTTCGCAGTAGACCAATTCATCCACAGCTTTGGACGACATTACAGAGCGACGATAAGATAATAGATCAGGATTGTTGTGGATTAGGTTAATGAACTATAGGTAATAGGTTCATGAACTTTAAACTGTTTACATTAAGGTAAAATCGAAGATTAATACAATCTTGTGGACCTTATGTAAAAATTAGGATAAAACAAATGTTGTAGGCCGATATATTGCCTTATAAGGCTACAAAGATGTTTTTCGTCGAAATTAATACCCCCGATTATTGTCATGTATTCTAGCCTAAACAGGGTATATCCAGGTTTAAATTCTATCTATCTAGAGACGCACAACACTCCATTGCCCAAAACATCTGGAATTTAGATAAGGGATATATTCTTATTTATTATATTGATTAAATTATTTGAAGTCTAAAAAGAATGGAATGTTTCAGGGGTACATTGTGACTCTCCTGCTGCCAGTTTTGAGCCGAGGACCACCGCCACCATTCTTTCCTCAAACCAAGGACGGCAGTTTCTTAGGTAGCTACCATTAACAATTTTACATATTGGAAGATAGTATTGAGAGATGATTATTAAACTTGTCAGGAATACTGACTAGTGGTCTGATCTTTAAGTTTAAACGGTATGCGGACCGAATCCGTAACAGACTGAATCCCTACCGACTGTATGCAAAACTGTGATCTTACTAGAGGAGCAAAAGGCGCGCTTTTCAGCCAATGAAAGAACAATAAAATGAGCCCCAATAAGCTGCACTCTGCAGTACACCTGCAGTACACCAGCAGTGCACCTGCAGTTTACCTGCAGTTTACCTGCAGTTTACCTGCAGTTTACCTGCAGTTTACCTGCAGTTTACCTGCAGTTTACCAGCAGTTTACCTGCAGTTTACCTGCAGTTTACCTGCAGTTTACCTGCAGTTTACCTGCAGTTTACCTGCAGTTTACCAGCAGTTTACCAGCAGTTTACCTGCAGTTTACCTGCAGTTTACCTGCAGTTTACCTGCAGTTTACCTGCAGTTTACCTGCAGTTTACCTGCAGTTTACCAGCAGTTTACCTGCAGTTTACCAGCAGTTTACCTGCAGTTTACCTGCAGTTTACCTGCAGTTTACCTGCAGTTTACCTGCAGTTTACCTGCAGTTTACCTGCAGTTTACCTGCAGTTTACCAGCAGTTTACCTGCAGTTTACCAGCAGTTTACCTGCAGTTTACCTGCAGTTTACCTGCAGTTTACCAGCAGTTTACCTGCAGTTTACCTGCAGTTTACCAGCAGTTTACCTGCAGTTTACCTGCAGTTTACCTGCAGTTTACCTGCAGTTTACCTGCAGTTTACCTGCAGTTTACCAGCAGTTTACCAGCAGTTTACCTGCAGTTTACCTGCAGTTTACCTGCAGTTTACCTGCAGTTTACCTGCAGTTTACCTGCAGTTTACCTGCAGTTTACCTGCAGTTTACCTGCAGTTTACCTGCAGTTTACTATAGTTTACTATAATTTACTATAATTCTCTCAGGAGTTGCAGGAATTGATCTACCGACCCGAATATTCGGGGAGTTTTCGCTTTCCAACCAGCAAGGCTGCTTCACATTAGCAATAAACGCTAGAGGGTGAGTACCAGAGGAGCTAGTAAGTAGTCTATATTGATGGTCGCTAGTGATTGGACCCGTCGCAGTTTTAAGATAATATGTTAAATATGATCCTTCTATCCATTGGTTCTACAAGATATATAATTTCCTTATCTCTCCGACAGGTACGTGGTGTACCACCCCCTGTTCTCGGAGCTGGAGATGGGTGAAGTAGACGTGAAGTATCACCAGTTCTCCTACCTAGTAAACAGTCCTGACGAGCTAGCTATAGAGAACTTTCTCGTCTATCAAAACTTCACTGGGACCTGTAAGATAGTGTACTGATCTTATCGTGTTTTTAGTAACTGTGCGGGGGTTATCGGTTCTTTTTAATCAGTCGCATTCACTCGCATGCAAGTTCTCGAGGACCTTGAATTTCTTGAGAGTTGGAGTCCTTTATTTCTTCCTCTGTTTTCTGTGACACCGCTATTTCTTGGGTCCTCTCCATTTTTGAGGTCCCCCCTAGTTTTCTAGACCTGATCCCTTTAACACTGTTACACTCCCTTAGTGAGAACACATAGCACCATACCAGGTTCTAAGTTCCGGTCCCCTTACGTCACTCAATACACGGTATTCATCACCCCTGTGGACCTCTCTGACTTCTCCCTGGCTTTACTCTGCCCCAACGAGCGGCAAATCACAGTAAGTTTCATGTTATCGATAAAGAAGTATTACCTGTGTTGGAACAGATAGATACACATAGATTTACTTCTAAGACATCACATAAGTTGGCGTTTAATAACCTCATGCGCTTCCGAGGAAGCATAGTTCATAGAACATTTCCAACCATCCAACACCCCGCATAGATTAAATTATTCTTAGCATATTAAATTATTTAATTCACGATTCCACGAATAGAATATCAAATGGCGGACTTCCTCACCCCACCCTCGCTCACGAGGAAGTATAATTCACCAATATAACTAATCCATTATCGGAGAGTACAGCATAACCGCTCTTTAGTTAATCATCAGCTGCATTAAGGAATTAACAGGGCCTTATTCAACCTTCACATCTGCTGATCCCCAAGAGGATCAGTGGATGGCAGACTTCCTCGCCCAGTACCTTTTGATTGCTTGCAAGGAACTACTATTATACGGGTCAAAACTGCGATTAAATATTTTAAGGACAAATTCAGATTAACTACTTCCATCAGCTTCAATGAACAATTCTCTCACAGTTAGTTACTCAAAACTTCTATCTTAGATTCATTTCTACATTACTGGTCCTATCATCAAATCCCACTCACGAGTAACGAAAAATCCCATAGCACGACCCATAAAAAGACCCATAAAAAGACCCATAAAGAGACACTTTTATATCTGTCACCGCACAATCCTCATACATTTTAATTGTTTTAACGTTTCACACTTTTAATGATAGTTACGTGTAAAGAGCACCTCGATAACATTTATTACCTTCTCGTAATATGTCATACTATCATATACATATGAATAGAACACCATGTTGAGCATTGAGCAACGAAAATTTGTTAAAGACCAATCAAACTGAATATAAAATGTACGTCATTTTCAATATATCTTGGATGTTCTTTCATTACTGCATTAGTATGTAGTACATTAACACATAGATCATTTTTCAATACGAGATTTGGGACGGGTTCTATTGAAACAAAATATCAAGCTAAACTAGAAATGTTTTTTTCAGAAGTGGCCTGATTCAGAGTTATTCAGAAAGACCTTATCGGATGTACTGAGAAATGTGGATCTGAGAACTTTTGAGGAGAATCATCACTGTCGGTGGGGTGAATATTTGAGAATCTAGTTAAATCTGTTGTCATTAATGTCCAGTTTTCTAAAATGGATCAGCTCACAAGTTACCAAAATTATCAGGCGACCCCTGTTCCCTTAACATAACAGACAACAGATTACAATTCAGATACAAGAAGCTCCTCCAGCAAAGCATCCATCAGAACACTGACCGTACGCTCGGTAACTTTTACCAGTTCATGAACAAAACCTTTCACACAGGTGGTTATACCTGCATGATTGATTGGTTTTGATTGATTGATTGATTGGGGGACTGGTCCGTAGTACCAGCCAATGTTTACTCAAAAGTAATATATAATTGAAATAAGTTAAATATTCATCCCCGAGGGGCACGCAGATTATAATTGTGATGTTATCTATTAAAACTATTCAATTGAAATTTTATTGGTCGAGTCGACTGGCCCTGATCTGCAAACATATTTGATATTAGTAACTTTATGATGCTGCCTCACCGCAATTAGGTGTGTTATCAGTGTAGATATGCGCTATGTGGCAGTGAAATAAGGAATGTGCTGTTAGAATGGCAGGTGGTTTGAAATGTTGTCCTGATTCAGATTGTTTAATTTGAGCTGTATGAGTTTGGTTTTGAGTGATTATTGACTATGTTCTTTGTGATTTACGTAATCCGGGTAGGTTGTGGAGTAAAAATGGTGGCCATTCGTCGTTGCAGCCAGCACTTTGCAAGTCTAGTAGTACTTGTTTTGACGAATTCTTATATATGTTGATAGAAAATATACTGGACGGGCATGTAATGCGAGTGTTATGCTCTGAAATAGCGAGCATTGGGCCTTTATAAAAGATGCTAGATCTCAGGTCAGTCTGTGAGTAAATTGATAACCAGTCTAAGTTTTGTTCGTGTGTCGTTCCTTGTTTGGGTGTGTTAGGAGGGAAAAGTTCTGAAATCGATTTAGGTAACAAACTAGACATATTTCGAACTTTGTGCAGTAAAATAAGTGCGTTTTTAACGATAACCCCATGAACGGTTAAGACCTCGTGTTCTTTAAATGCTAGTTTTGTGTGCTCTGGCAGTTTTCCGTCCTTGTAGTAGTAGTTCACATTTCCGGCCATAACTGCCCTCATACCTTGTTTTTGTTTAGCAAAAAGAGATTCTATAAGAGATTTTGAAGCAAATCCCCATACAAGTGAGCAGAAGTTTAAATGGGACTGAACAAAACTTTGGAAAATCTGTAAACGGGCCTTCATTGGCAATTTATGTTTTATCCTGTACATCACCCCAATAAATCTTGACATCTTGCTCCTCAGTGCTTTTATGTGGTTACTCCAGTTAAGCTTTTCATCTACAATTACACCAAGAAACCGGGCTTCAGTTTTACGTTCTAATATTGTATTTTCTATTTGTACTTTAATCAATGATGGTTCTATGCGCTTTTTAGAGAAAATCATATAACACGTCTTTTTTAGATTTAGTGCTAATCCGTTGCTATTAACCCACCGTGATAATGTTTCCGTTAATTGGTTGACCCTTAGCATTAGTTCTTGGACATTGGAACCGTTAATAATGATATTTGCATCATCTGCATAAAGTATGAATTTTACCATCATGTTAGAAATACCAGGAAGATCGTTGATGTATATGACGAAAAGTAAGGGACCTAGTATGCTCCCTTGTGGAACACCATGCACAATAGGCTTGTGGGACGAATGTGAATTGTTTATTGCTACATATTGGCTTCTATCACTTAGGTACGACTCAAACCACTTTAGAGCTATTCCCCGGATGCCGTAGTGCTGTAATTTATTTAGCAGTGTAGCATGATCCAGGACGTCAAACGCTTTACTGTAATCTAATAATAGCAGTAGTGAAATTTGGTTTTTGCTAAGAGAGTGTAAAATTGTACTTTGTGCATTAAGAAGAGCATGTTCACAGGACCTTCCTGGACGGAAACCATACTGATTTTCGAATAAAGAACTATTTTTGTTAAGAAATTCTAAGACACGTCGGTGCATCAGTTTTTCGTAGATTTTTGAGAAGGAACCTAAGAGAGAGATAGGTCTATAATTTTCAACGTCAAGTTTAGAGCCTCCTTTATGGATGGGAGTTACTTTGGCAATTTTAAGGGCCTGTGGAAATATGCCTGTACTTAAGGATTCGTTGATAACTTTTGCTAATATAGCAAGGAAACTATCGCTGGAACTGGCTACTTTTAGTGGTTCAATTTTTGTGTCAAGGGTCGCTTTGTTCTTCAAACCAATAATAATTCTTTGAATTTCGATCGTTTCGGCAGGCTGTAGATAGATTGATTGAGAACAGGATGTGGGCAGATATTCTTGGAACCCCCCAGGGTCAAAGGTCTGACGGGCACTTATCTGAGTTTTGATGTTCGTAGCAATGTTCGAGAAATAGTCATTAAACCTTTCAGCCACGGTATCTTCAGAACTCAAAATCGACCCGTCCGAACCTTTGAGTCTTAACTGCTCAGTTTTCCTGCTTCTACCAAGTAAACCGTTGATTATTTGCCATTGTTTTTTGGAGCAGTCCTGGTATTTTTCGAATTGTTTTTTATAGTATCGTTGTTTGGCAATGTTGACATGTTTTTTACAGAAAAGTTTTAGCTTTTTATAGGCCTCTATATTATTCATTGTAGGTTCAAGTACTTTACTATGATAACTTTCTTGTTTCCGCGCACATGCTTCTTCAAGCCAGGGTAGTATCCAGGGTTTAGTATTAGAACGCTCATGCTCACGGCGAATATGATTGATTTTTAGTGGATAGGCAGTATTATAGTGCTTGGTGTATATATCTGCAAGTTTTCCGTATTGCAGACTAGCGTCGTCTGTACTTAATATCTCGTCCCACGTTTCCCCATCGATGAGTTCCCTAAAAGCAGCATTGTTGGCCTCATTTATGACACGTGTTTCATAACTAAGTTTAGGTTGTGTGTTAGTGGGTAGCCTGAGATGTTGTTGCGAAGAGTTACTTAGTTTAAAAGTGGTAACGATAGCAAGATGATCCGATAAATCCACCGTTACAACGTTACTGCTTATTGTGTTACTTATATTATTTGTGTAGACATGATCAATTAAGGTAGCACTGTGATCGGTGACTCGTGTCGGCCTTGAAACCGTCTGAACAAATCCATACTTGGCAAGGAGGTCTATGAGGTTATGTCCAGAAATATCAGTTTTGAATTTTATAAGATCAATGTTCGCGTCCCCAAAAAACATGATATGCTTGCGAGAATGTCTGTCTAGACCTCGTAGCACCTTTTCCAAAGAATTTAAGAAGTTCTGAGTACCTTTAGATGGGGACCTGTAAAAGTTTATCAATACTTTTGTTTGGTTTGTGTCTTTGCAATTATGCACCTTGACTAATTGAAATTCAGCGCACGTGTCTTCGGGATCTGTGGTTGCTTTAAGATTTTCTATATTTTCGGGATCACAAACCCTCTTATTAATGTAAATTACAAGGCCACCACCTTTTCCTGATTTGCGTAATGGTTCCTGAACAATAGGCTCGTAAAACCCTTCAATTATAATGTCGGAGATTCCGTTTGGTAATTTATCTAACTTCAAATTGGTTTCGTTAAGACACAAAACGTCATACTTAGTATAACTGTCGATTTCTTCACGGAAGTATGTGATGTTCTTTACTAATGATCGCACATTAAGAGAAAACACTTTCAGTTCATCACGGGAGGAACTTTTAATGTTCGATGGCTGCTGATACTTACAATTGGTTAATATATCGCTGATTTCGTTCCAGTATTGGTAACTTTCATCGTTATCCTGATCTAAAGCGTTACCAATCAAATCTAAACCATGTAAGCGGTCGTATGGATTGAAAAGAGCAGTGATTCGGCTGCTACAGTCCATAAAAAGATCATAAGATGTCACATAATAACCTGGGATTAACGACTCACAGCACTTTATGCAGCCTAAATTATCTCTAAAGCACTTTTTATGAATGTACTCATCGCACCATGGACAAAACCTAATGTTTAATCTAGAATAACAAAACCCGTTACAGGCCATGCACTTTGTTTTAAAATTAGTCTTGTTAACACTACTTTTTTTATTCGTCGGGACATCAGAGGCATTGATTGGGAGAATTGAGCTTATGCATTCATAGCAGAACCATGGGTTCCCAGAATTTATAATGTGCCGGGCATCGTTTTTCGATAGTTTCTGGCATTTTAAATGTTTACGTTCAGCACATAGGTCACAAATTAGGTCAGGAGAACTTTTAGGGATACGAACATAGCATTTGTCGCAATTGGGCTGTGAGCCGTGTTGCCTATGATTACTTCCTTCCACTTTCAGTGACAGAATAAAGTAAGAGTTGAAAACAGATTAAATAAATGAAATAAAAACTGAATAAAGAAAAATTGATATTAATATATAATCTGATGGGTGTAGACAGTAGGCTGGTCAGATCCGTTTGCAAGAACTTTCAGTTCTGTGTGCAAGACAAGATCGTGACGGTTGTGCCTATTTACTACTTAAAAACTACAGATTATTTTCTGCTCAAAATCAACAGGCTCTGCAACTAGTTCTCTTAAAGAATTTGATAATAAATAACAGAAAAGATTTACTAATGCGAGGGGCGCACGGACTGTGGATCAGTCATAGTCTGTCAGAAGTCGGTAGTTGGGTAGATTGTCGATGTGATTTGTCGTTTTCTGTATCATGTGTACAATGTAATAAGATGTAATAATATACAGTAGGCCTCGTATTTTGTTTTATAAATGGAGTATTAAACGATGCGATTAAGGGACTGTAATTAGAATGACTGATAAGTGTAAAGCCGAGATTACTGATAAGGCGAAATGTTGTGACAGGTCTAAGTGAGTTGCGATAATATTAGTATTCGACGTGTTTTGAAATTGTTATGCCACGTTGGCTTAATTTGAAATATGATTGCAGATCAGTCCTTTTACATCAGATCGAGCTGCTTTTTTATTGGAAATTGTATAACTTTACTAAAAAAACCTGTGCAATATGCCATTAATAAACGAATAAAGGCATCGATATTAATATATTTGTTTTTTAAGAATCAACCCTTTAAATGCTAAAATTATTTCCAGATTGTGCCAACAGCGTGCTGCAGATTTTATACGAAGTTTGGAAGTTCAAGAGTATCAATCTCGTACACGGCAGTTTTATTGTCACAGCATCCGGGAACAGGTACAAAAAACCGGTGACCTAAATTTCACCAACTTGACTATTGGGTCTAAATGATAATGTAACTCGTGCATAGTATAAGTTACTTTTAGATAATTCTGTTTGTTGGCAATTAACCAAAATGGGATTTCAATTGTTTCCCATCTCATGACAACAATCAACAATTAAGCTCTGGGATGAGTCCAATTTACACTCATTTATTAGCTTATTCAGTATCTAGATACATCAAGTATCTAAATAAAATGCTTCTTACAACCAGAACAAGCTCAAACAAAGGCACTTCATAAACAATCCCCAGCTGTTTCAAAGGCATTTCATAGTTACCTCACTGGTAATCTACAGCTGTGTCTACTTCACATACACTTGACAGGTACGTGCAGGACGGAATGAGGCTGATCAGACAGTCCGGAGAGTACACACAAGGTCTATACAACTACATATCAGCAGTCTCCACCCCCCGGAGCCCCCTGGTAGTGCTGGAGCGGGACGGGACTACCTTTACCATAGGTCGTGTTGTGGTGCATCACAGTGGGGTACCTATGGCTGTTATTGGGTTCAACATCTCCGCTTATATGCTCGGGTGAGTGCTTAGTTCGGTTATTGTTGACTGCATCAGATCTCAAGTAGAGACTCTATAACTGATAGCATTCTTTCTTGAAACTTTGTTTTTTAACTGCCTCAATTTGAAGATGCTGTCTTTTAATTCCATTTCAATTTACCTGTTTTTCTCTTAACTTCTGAACACTGTGTCTCTTAACACTGTGTCTCTTAACACTGTGTCTCTTAACACTGTCTCTCTTAACACTGTGTCTCTTAACACTGTCTCTCTTAACACTGTGTCTCTTAACACTATGTCTCTTAACACTGTGTCTCTTAACACTGTGTCTCTTAACACTGTCTCTCTTAACTTCTGAACACTGTGTCTCTTAACACTGTGTCTCTTAACACTGTGTCTCTTAACACTGTGTCTCTTAACACTGTGTCTCTTAACACTGTGTCTCTGAACACCGTGTCTCTTAACACTGTGTCTCTTAACACTGTGTCTCTGAACACTGTGTCTCTTAACACTGTGTCTCTTAACACTGTGTCTCTTAACACTGTGTCTCTTAACACTGTGTCTCTTAACACTGTCTCTCTTAACACTGTGTCTCTTAACACTGTCTCTCTTAACACTGTGTCTCTTAACACTGTGTCTCTTAACACTGTGTCTCTTAACACTGTCTCTCTTAACACTGTCTCTCTTAACTTCTGAACACTGTGTCTCTTAACACTGTGTCTCTTAACACTGTGTCTCTTAACACTGTGTCTCTTAACACTGTGTCTCTTAACACTGTGTCTCTGAACACTGTGTCTCTTAACACTGTGTCTCTTAACACTGTGTCTCTGAACACTGTGTCTCTTAACACTGTGTCTCTTAACACTGTGTCTCTTAACACTGTGTCTCTTAACACTGTGTCTCTTAACACTGTCTCTCTTAACACTGTGTCTCTTTACACTGTCTCTCTTAACACTGTGTCTCTTAACACTGTGTCTCTTAACACTGTGTCTCTTAACACTGTGTCTCTTAACACTGTCTCTCTTAACTTCTGAACACTGTGTCTCTTAACACTGTGTCTCTTAACACTGTGTCTCTTAACACTGTGTCTCTTAACACTGTGTCTCTGAACACTGTGTCTCTTAACACTGTGTCTCTTAACACTGTGTCTCTGAACACTGTGTCTCTTAACACTGTGTCTCTTAACACTGTGTCTCTTAACACTGTGTCTCTTAACACTGTGTCTCTGAACACTGTGTCTCTTAACACTGTGTCTCTGAACACTGTGTCTCTTAACACTGTGTCTCTTAACACTGTGTCTTTTAACACTGTGTCTCTTAACACTGTGTCTCTTAACACTGTGTCTCTTAACACTGTGTCTTTTAACACTGTGTCTCTTAACACTGTCTCCCTACACCTCCAGAGCTACACTACAGCGGGTGATGGAGAAAACAGACATCCAGCGTCACAGCACTTATGTGCTAGACCAGAGTGGGTACATTGTCTTCAGTAACCGGGCAAGAACTGTGGGCTCTTTCATCGGCCTGGTTCAACCATGTGCTCTCAACTTGATGGAGAAATACAGTGAGTCGGGGAAGTCAGCTTCGGAGTCATTTAATTTAGAGGAAATTGTTAAGTATATACTTTAATAGGTCGAGGAAGCACATTAAAATATTGTGTAACCCATGGTTTTAAGATTGTGGTAGCATTAAATTACTTCCCGCGGAGGTCAAAAAGGTTATATGATTAGCAGTCCAGATACAAAATATTATGAGCTTATGTAAAGCAGTGACAAATCAAAATCAAGTAATTTTATGTCTTTTAATAAATTCTACCAATAAAACCTGAAATGACCCAGAAATATACGATTACCAAGAGGAAGGACAATGTTACCACTTATGTGAGCGAGAACCAGTAACTGATGGCGTCACTCCGACCTCATCGGTTTTACCGGTCTGGGGTTTTCTCCATCTAGTCTATCAGGTAATGTAAAACCCGATTATCTAGTCTATCAGGTAATGTAAAACCCGATTATCTAGTCTATCAGGTAATGTAAAACCCGATTATCTAGTCTATCAGGTAATGTAAAACCCGATTATCTAGTCTATCAGGTAATGTAAAACCCGATTATCTAGTCTATCAGGTAATGTAAAACCCGATTATCTAGTCTATCAGGTAATGTAAAACCCGATTATCTAGTCTATCAGGTAATGTAAAACCCGATTATCTAGTCTATCAGGTTATGTAAAACCCGATTATCTAGTCTATCAGGTTATGTAAAACCCGATTATCTAGTCTATCAGGTAATGCAAAACCCGATTATCTAGTCTATCAGGTAATGTAAAACCCGATTATCTAGTCTATCAGGTTATGTAAAACCCGATTATCTAGTCTATCAGGTAATGTAAAACCCGATTATCTAGTCTATCAGGTAATGTAAAACCCGATTATCTAGTCTATCAGGTTATGTAAAACCCGATTATCTAGTCTATCAGGTAATGTAAAACCCGATTATCTAGTCTATCAGGTAATGTAAAACCCGATTATCTAGTCTATCAGGTAATGTAAAACCCGATTATCTAGTCTATCAGGTTATGTAAAACCCAATTATCTAGTCTATCAGGTAATGTAAAACCCGATTATCTAGTCTATCAGGTAATGTAAAACCCGATTATCTAGTCTATCAGGTAATGTAAAACCCGATTATCTAGTCTATCAGGTTATGTAAAACCCGATTATCTAGTCTATCAGGTAATGTAAAACGCGATTATCTAGTCTATCAGGTAATGTAAAACCCGATTATCTAGTCTATCAGCTAATCAAACATCAGCTGCCCAGAACAAACCTTATCAACTAATTCATTGTGATGCTATTCCTACCTTATGGTTGGATATATCTAATTCTAAGACTTGTAATCGCTCCCCCCAGGTGACCACCTCCTCCTCCCCCGGTTCCCTACTAACCCTCCTTCTCCTCTCCCTCCTGGACCTAGCCGTCTCCCACGAGAAGCTTCAGTGCTGTAAATACCATCTCTTTTACCAGAGAAACGACAGGATTCCTCAAAGATCGGAAGTGTTGCAGGATGGTTGTTTGGAGTACGCTGTGGTGGCTATTGAACAGACTAATCTCCTGCTGCTAGGTCAGTACACCCGGTGAAACACACACTTAGTCTTTCTAGTATCTAATCTTTCAGACCTTCGTCTCTGCACTGCTGTCCGAGTGTGTTTAACATATCCAAAGAGTACAGAAGGTATAAGGATACTAAATAAAATAACCCCTCTATTTCAGTGGTGCCCCATAAACCCGACTGTCCCTGCACCACACCACCCATCACACTGGAGCCCCCGGAGCCGACCTTTGCAGGACCCTGTAATGCCAACGACAAGAACTATAACAGTAGATATGAGTGTAGCGAGGAGATAGAGCTAGATCATGAGGGTCAGAGTGCTGGTAGTAGGACACAAGTGTGCTACCACTCGGTGGTTTTAGCCGTGCTTTTCTTTGGACTTGCTATAACTTGAAATTTGCGTTTAGGTATTTTATGATAAATTTATTGGTGATTTTAGAGTATCAGAAAAATTTGATTGAAGCTTGGAAGCAGTGAGCTATTTCAGAGCTTGATTTTGAGAAATCGTGTTACAAACCATTAACTCAGTAGATTATTAGAAAACTTGTTTCTGAATTTGTTTGCGATGGGTTCAGATTTTAAAATATATTCTGTCGGTTAATACTAATAAATGGTTTTGTTAAACAGGTCTTCATTCTTCAAAAATAACCCTACCCATAACCACGACTCTTACCAAAACCCGTAAAGACCCAATTCGTGAATTTTACTAGCCTGTCACGTGACCAAAACTGTTTTTTGCCCATAACTCCTCAGAAAAACATTTAACCCTACTTCACGGGGGTGTTTCATAGTCGGCGTCCAGAAGTACATTTAACGAACTTTCAACCCTCAGTCCTTAGCGCCGGCCTTTCTATAAGAATTTTTAAATCCTTGGCGAGGGATTTAGCGGGACCAAGATTGCCTCCTCAGTATCAAACTCGATAAACGCTTCCAGTAAGTTTATTTTTAAGTTAAATAGTAATCTTAAAGGTGTATTTTAAATTCTGATAGTATATCAGTAATGCAGAACAAAACTCCGTTTAAATTTTGAAATTTAAATATACGCAAACCATTACCAGATTTATTAAACTGAACACATTTTACCGCTGTTTGATTACTAGTCCCCAACTCATGTGTCAGCTATTAATTTGAGAATTCAATAACTTGACTGACAGACAGCACAACTTCGTTTATGAGGAAGTCAGGAAAAATAAAATAAAAAATAAAATCCATTAAAATAGCTGATCGATTAGCCAACTTACGCGATGTTTTGGGAATTGTGCTTGTTGCTGTAGTAACTACCGATTCCTCGGTCCCTGGACCAATCATTGTGAGCAACAAAGGTCACGTGTGACGTAAAAAGATGGGACTGGTGTTCACGGCTCATCGCTTAAAGTTATGGGAACATTTACGGGCTCACGTTTTTAATTATCGTGAGGCATTCAAATCTTTAAAAGGTTGCATATCCGTCAAATAAAGAAATAAGACGAAATTGAACACAAACGATCCTAAATGTGTATATTTACTGACATTACGAATGACCCTTATAATACTCTCACATCACCCTGCCGTAAGCTAAAAACACCGCAGAGCAGACCACCGCTCATGAACTATTTTGTTATGTGCGACCATCTGCCGGACGGTTGAATGGTGTGGTTGTATCATCAGTTTCGTATAATTTGTGAAATCGGACCCTACTTATGTGGGTTGTCAAGTGTTGGGACCATTATCAGGTGATCTCCCTGGTAACGCAGAGATTAGGGTCCGCTATTACGGTGCAGCTATTAGATTGGTGGAGAATGTGGTCACGTGGTGGCAGCAGCTACTCGTAATCAGTACACATATCGGGGGGGGGGGGGGGGTTGTGTAGATAGTGGTACCCGCAGTTAAATGAAGTGTCACGGTGGTCACTAACCACTAGTTAATAACCAGTGGGCAGTGACCAGGGTAACCAGAATGTTCTGATAGTACGAAGTTGTCAGGTGGTCATGGCGACCAGGTTTCGTGGTAACCATGTTATCACGGTAACCATGTTATCACGGTAACCATGCTGTCGTGATATCAATTGTCCTTTTATTTACACTATAAAATAGTCACGGTCCACTGCGAAACACAATTTGCAGCTTACAAAGAAGGAATTTAACTTCTGAAATGCAACTTAACCAAAGTGAGTCTATCAGAGAGAGAGAGAGTCTATCAGAGCAAACCCCGGCTGCACCGGTTGCGGGTTGAGCCATTGTTACCAAAATGTCACAACCCCATGTTATAATGTATGGATCAGAATATAGCTACATTTAATAACAAATGCCTGATCAACTTAATTACCCAACTAACAAGTAGTATATCGATTAAAATAGCAGAGTCTTACTTGGCAAGTAAGGTTTTAAGTGTTTCGATCTGTTTGTGAAGAGCTAGTGACTGTCCTCGGAACTCCGCAAGAGCTCCCTTCAGTCGCGAGTTCTCATTTCGGAGCAGATAAACTTCCTGTGAGAATGATCTAACTAATTAATGTCAATACCTCAAATATTTAATCAAGTAAAGGCAGATAAACTTCCTGTGAGAATGATCTAACTAATTAATGACAATACCTCAAATAATTGATCAAGTAAAGGCAGATAAACTTCCTGTGAGAATTATCTAACTAATTAATGACAATACCTCAAATAATTGATCAAGTAAAGGCTAACGACTGCGATCAGTATGAAGGGTATAATATTTCCCCCCTTTTAAAATGGTTCCAATTAGTCGAAAGTGCTGTAAACAATCAAAATATTTGATCTTTAATTTCCAAGAATAATTGAAAACGACAAAAAAAACAATAAATTCCCAAGATGGCCTCACCGTATCATTGTAAGCGACCATGGGGAGCTTCTCCTTCGCACACTTCATCTGAAAATAAAACTTCGTTATTACTTATAATATATTATTTATATAATATAAGACACAGGCCACACGCTCAAAGCTACCAGTACCTGTATGAAAGGCAATTGTTTTGATAGGGTTAACTAAAGACAGATTTTAAATATCGTTGCATTGTACGTCGAGCTCTGATTGTATGGTGTACCACTTTTATGAACCTTTCGGTAAAAGCTTCGAATAAATCACATCGGAAATTGGGAGTAAGCAGCAATTACAAAACAGCTTAATTGGAACGACTGCAAAAATATAAAATTTTCGCGTGTAATTTTGTCTCTCTACGTACAGGAAAAAACAACAACTTAGATAGATATCAACTATACGTCCTCAGAACCGCACCTCTACTTCGGTCGAGAATTTTCAAAGGGGATTAGTGATCACATGCAGGGAAATTACCACCAAAGATGACAAGTCATGCATCATTTTGATAATCGTCAGTTTTTTTGTTTGATTTTTCGAGTTGGTCTTTCTTGGAAACCAGGAAGATCTTCTTGGACAACATAGAAATTCTCTGAAATTCGACCCGAAAATTACCAATATTTATTTGGAGTACCTGCTGTTCATGGTTGTATTGCGTCCTTTTAATGTATGTGCTTTGGTAAGTGAAATCATCCATAAATTTGTTTGGTTTTGTAAAATGAATATACAAATTAATTAAGAAACTACACTCTATACGGACCCGTTTTATCTTTTTGAACTTACCTTATACCATATACATAATTTTTAACATAATGTAGAATGAAGGTAAGGAACTTTTTTTATATTTGTATTATAAAACAAAATACAGCAAACACAAGAAATAAATAAAGTGGCCGAGTAGTCCCGCATTCTTATCTCTTATGGGCCACGTGAACCAATTTTTCAAAATCAGTTAATTTTAAAACGTTATTAGTAATCAATTAGGCTAGGAACAGATGATACAAATAAGTGGATATATTATAATAAAGTGACAAAGGATAACAGGATGACGTTTATATACTGGAGAGTGGAAGTGTTCTTACAAGCTGCAGGTTGCAAAATAGAGAAGCTGCAAACGGGAGGAGATTATTTGTCAAGATATTCCTAATATTTCTGATATTCTTAGATCACCACTTACTACGTCAAAGACCTCTAGATTATCTCTTGGCATTGGCTAATTATCAGCCCACGCTCATTAATCAGCCGGTCACCTCTTTGACCATTGATGACTCTATTTTAGTTAACTTTGAAGATAACTCTTTGGAAAGCTGACTGCAGCCAACAACTATGAGTACTAGCAGGAACCCGTCTAACCCTAAAGTGGTGTCAAGACTCGAGAGACTAAAATAATTATTACCTATTTAATTCGCGTTTTTGACACCACTTGAGAGTCCAAATTTTGGGCACTAAAATTATTATTCCTTGGCCAATTTTTTATTTTTTCATGCTGATTTGAAGGCCATTAAAGCATTTGACCCAGTCAAAAACGTTTTAGTTGTATATCTTTTACGGTTTTTGCGGAAAGTCGCGTTAAAGTTGATGCCGTGGTGTCAGTAAAATGGCACGGATATATACACATATATATATATATATCGTCTCGCTTTATATATAGTAAGATGACTGTCGCATTTGTGAATTATATGCATTTTAGGAACCGTCAACTGGTTTGAAACAATTGACAAATATGGAAGCATCTTATTAAATATTCTCGAATCAAATATATGTTCCTGCATTCTATTTCTACAACTTCTTAGAAGAAATTTTGCGAACTTTATTCGGTTTACGATGATGTTAATTTAGCACAGTTTGACAGTTTGAAACAATGGCTATGAAGAAGTAGTGCACAAAACTTATGATCCCCTGACATTTGATTCGGATTATCTTCACTCTCGAAGATGAGACGAAAACTTCGGCGAAAAAAATTATGGAAATAGCATGAATCTGACTATAAAATTTAAGAAATCAAAACGGAAGTTAGACAGCAAAAAGTCTGAAAAAGTCTAACAACGTTTAGGAGTGATAACGTTTACACAGTTTTCAGTTAGTGTAGACAGTTTAGTGTAGACAGATACCTGTTCAGGCCCACTCCTGATTCCTGACTCCACTTTGCCCCTGCTCTCACGAGTAAGCAGAAAAGCAACAGAAACTTTGAATAACAGTGGCTTAGCGTTAGCAGCTGTAGCTCAGTGGCCTAGATAGTGGGTCTTTATCAAGTCGAGGCTTAGATATCGTGAATGTTAATTTAGTGCCACACATATATATTTAAAGCTTCAGTAGATATAATAAGTACGCTACGATAGTTTATCAACTGCTTAACTTAGCATACGATTTATATGACGATCGAACTATTTATCCATTTTATGGTCAAGATTCTGTTACATAACAAAATGCGTAACATTCTTAGGTTCTGAAGCGCATAATATGTTTGAGGAGGCTGACATGGACAGTGCTGCTGGTACGTGGTATTATATCATTAGATAACAGTGCTGAAACCACCTAGTAACCACCCCAGTTACCACCTAGTAACCACCCCAGTTACCACTTAGTAACCACCGCAGTTACCACCTAGTAACCACCCCAGTAAACGCTCCACAGTGCTGATGGTACGTGGTATTATATCATTAGATAACAGTGCTGTAACCACTTAGTAACCACCCCAGTTACCACTGAGTAACCACCCCAGTTACCACTTAGTAACCACCCCAGTTACCACCTAGTAACCACCCCAGTTACCACTGAGTAACCACCCCAGTAACCACTTAGTAACCACCCCAGTTACCACCTAGTAACCACCCCAGTTACCACCTAGTAACCACCCCAGTTACCACCTAGTAACCACCCCAGTTACCACTTAGTAACCACCCCAGTAAACTCTCCACGTGGTAGGCTGTTTCTTCAGATACACGATACAGGCTGTTAAGTCAAGGTTAATCACTAATCAGTGCTCTATCTGGTGAGATATACGCATGTCTAACTTAGGTTTAGTTCAGATTTAAAGTAACTACCTTAGTAACCCTTAGTAACCATACTAGTAACCATATTAGTAACCATACTAGTAACCATCTATTATAAGTGTCATCTTCAACTGTCTAACAGCAGTGAATATGCCTGATCAGATATTGACCATTTATCCCGCATGTATCTCCTGAAGTAGGAGTTGAAGGATACATTTTGTTTCTGAATTCATATGTGTAGACAGTAGAACGTGCGCAGATTCTTAGATATCAAGAATACCGACTGTTGGTAGATACTAAGCTATTGATGAAAAACGATTAGTGGTCGTCAAATAAATATTATATATAATTATCGTTTATATGTTAATATAATGTATAGATTTGTCATCAAGTTGGTTTATCCGAGAAGTCAAGCTGGAGAAGCAAAAATTATCTGACAAAGTAAAACTCATTGATTGAAGTTATATCAGAGATTCTTAGACAGCCTAGCTGGAGAATGGAGATGGTCAACACTCAATAGGTCAGACAGTGCAACTACTTCGTATTTAGTGCATGCTTCAGGATATATGAAATCGGAATTTGTTGCTGTTCGAATATACCCGTTCCCAGAAAGAGAGAGAGAGAGAGAGAGAGAGAGAGAGAGAGAAATAATCTCAACCATTTAATGGGTTTGTAACTTTAAAGTAAAAGTAAAGATCCAAAAAGTTTAGTGGCAATTTCATTTTCGCTTTTACTTATTACCCTTCGAGTCTAGACAGTACTTATATGGTGGTTACTTGTTTCAACTCCCATGGTAAGTGAGCATAAACTGGACCGGTCGTACAATACAATGGTGGAACTAGAAATTATTTCGCACTATCTATATGGAATGGTTTGAGATTAAGAATAGCAGGTTAGAGGAAGTATTTCGCGAAAACTATCATTTGATTTACAAACATTTCCGCGGTCTTGAATTTTCTAAAATGCTTTCCATTATTTGAATACAAACTACGAACAGTAGACTTACCAGAAACCGCTGTTCAATGAAGCGAAGGAACTTGTCACAGTCACAAACACACATGTCACCGCTCACTGCCAGATTGATACTAGTAACGAAACAAGGAAGTAATAACTTCACAATAATAGTAAAAGCACGGAACGTTGAATTGTGTGTCAACCATCGCTAAGGTCAGAACGGGGTCTCGAAAGAGGGGCGAACATGCAATAATTCCATTGCGGTGGAGTCGTGTCGACAGAAAATAATTGAAAAGCAAACTCCTAATTTGGTGCAGTGGCTTGGCACTTGTTGATCAATATCATACATCAAAATGAAATTAGTTTCACATGTTACTCTCTCTTGTGTAATTTCATTTAATGCTGGGCCGATCGAGTCAACGTAGATCATAAGCGCTGAAAATTTCGAAACAACTCAACAACTAACAAGTCAACAGCACTCAAAAATCAGTTTTGGCCTTGTAGAAAATGCTATCATGCTTGCCTGTAGTGTTAAGATCGTAAAGCACTTAAATGACCACTTCAATATTTTTAACGTTCTTGGAACGTTTCTCTTGAACGTTGCTGAGTTAGGCGAAAATACCTAATGAAAATAAAAAATTTACAAATTATCACAGTTTAACTAAGTCGTGAAATCATATAACTTGGTCAGACGAAAAGGCAAATGTTGGCAGCCAACACACAGCGGTCTGAAGAGTCTACTGAAAGTATATTTTAGAATGACCGCACGGTGTCTACTGAGAGAATGCGATCTAAAGCCCCTCGTCGTCCAATGAGGAGTCCGCCCAGCTGCCACGTGACCATTTGTAACGAATAATGCACGTGCGTGCGCGTCACGTGAGGATGGTAGCCTGACCGGACCATTTGAGGGATAATGGAACTCGAATAGGGACTATAACCATGGCAACATAGGGAGGTCAGGACAAACGCAATGCTGTCGTTTTTTTTCAATACAACTTTATATTAGACTATTTATTAGAGTAAGCGGCAACTTCAGCGGGGCTATTTGTCAATAATTCGACAGCTCCATATTGTGTTAAAGTGTACTGCGTCATCGCATCGTAAGAG